GAATCACTCAGTTATATGATTCAGTAAACTTTCCTCCCTACCTTAAAAATCAGGCTTCCAGTCCTCTATAAATGATGGAATCTAAATTGCTGATCTATGGCATATTCTATGTAAAGCTTTCCTTTACTTCTCTAGGTGTGGCAACCTAGGTTTTACTATCTAAGCATTAACTAATTTTTTTTTTTTTTTTTTTGAGTTGGAGTCTCACTCTGTCGCCCAGACTGGAGTGCATTGGCCGCTCCCGGCCACCGCAGCCTCGACCTGCTGGGCTCCGGCGATCCTTCCACCTCAGCCTTCCAAGTAGCTGGAACTACAGGCATGCGCTACCATGCCCAGCTAATTTTTGATTTTATTGTAGAGATGAGGTCTCGCCAAGTTGCCCAGGCAGGTCTCGAACCTGCAGGCTTAGGCAATCCAGTCACCTCAGCCTCCCCAAGCGAGGGATTACAGGCTGAGCCACCGGGCCCGGCTGCATTAACTAATTTTTTTTTTTTTTGAGTTGGAGTTTCACTCTGTACCCAGACTGGAGTGCAATGGCCGCTCCTGGCTACCGCAGCCTCGACCTGCTGGGCTCCAGCGATCCTTCTGCCTCAGCCTTCCAAGCAGCCGGAACTACAGGTGCACGCTACCATGCCTGGTTAATTTTTGATTTATTGTAGAGATGAGGTCTCGCCAAGTTGCCCAGGCAGGTCTCGAACCTGCAGGCTTAGGCAATCCACTCACCTCAGCCTCCCCAAGCGAGGGATTACAGGCTGAGCCACCGAGCCCGGCTGCATTAACTAATTTTTTTTTTTTTTTTTGAGTTGGAGTTTCACTCTGTACCCAGACTGGAGTGCAATGGCCGCTCCTGGCCACCACAGCCTCGACCTGCTGGGGTCTAGCGATCCTTCCGCCTCAGCCTTCCAAGCAGCCGGAACTACAGGTGCACGCTACCATGCCTGGTTAATTTTTGATTTATTGTAGAGATGAGGTCTCGCCAAGTTGCCCAGGCGGGTCTCGAACCCGCGGGCTCAGGCAATCCACTCACCTCAGCCTCCCAAAGGCGCAGGATTACAGGCTGAGCCACCGAACCTGGCAACTAATTTTTAAAAATTCAGTTTCATATCTCTATGTTGCCCAGGCTGAACTTGGACTCCTGGGCTTGAGTGATGCTCCTCCCTTGGCCTTCTGAGTAGCTGGATACAGGCGTATGCACCACACCTAGCTGTAGACCACATACACACTTGTAGCATATAAAACAAAAAATTAATTAACATGCAGAATTTATAAATATGTCCTGTTATTTCTGGCTACAATTGAATTTTGTGATAATTTGAAAACTGTAATTGACAATTTCAGAATAAGGCATCTAGTCAGAAAAGCAAATGAGTAAAGAAATGATTTCGGAAGAAAACATTATTTTATCCAGCAAGAAGGGCATTCTCTGTTTGACACATACTTTCATATTACAAACCACAAAGTTTATTATAGGTCTGCAGTCCCTTTTTCTGAAACTCGGGGCCAGCTAAATACTTAAAACTGGAATTCTTCTTAGGGTTCCTTTTTTTGGTCTGCTTATTTGGGTCTTATGTTGTATTAGATACTTTCCTCAAATGTTTGCTGATGCTTATCTGTGTGTTTATATATATATTTTTTGAGTCGGAGCTTCACTTGACCTGCTAGGCTCAGGTGTTCCTTTCATCTCAGCTTCCCAAGTAGCTAGGACTACAGGAACGTGTGACCATGTTTGCTAATTTGTTTATTTTACTGTAGAGATGAAACCTAGCCATGTTGCCCAGGCTGGTCTTGAATCCTTGGGCTTAGGCAATCCTTTTGCCTCAGCTTCCTAAAGTGCTGGGATTACAGGCATGAGCCACCATGCCCATCCTATTTATATTTGAATTTGAAGCACTAAAAAGCTGATCAGAGCATATTTCACCACCACTGCCTTGGGCATCTCCATTTGGAGGGCTTTATTACTGAAATGACTTTTTTAGGGCCTCAAATATCCAGTACTGTATATCTTTTTTCCTGGGAGGGATTCCTCCAGTCTCCTGCCAGGGGTGGGGAAACTGATGGTATTCTGGACATAAGCTGGAAAGGAGCCTGTGGTGTCATGGTTCAGCATGATTTGGGGGATTGGCTCAGTGGCGTGACTGCTCCTTTTTTTTTTTTTTTTGGAGTCAGAGTCTCACTCTGTTGCCCAGGCTAGAGTGCAGTGGCATGCTTACAGCTACCACAGCCTTGACGTGCTGGGCTCAGGCATCCTTCTACCTCAGTCTTCCTAGTAGCTGGGACTACAGGTGTGTGCCACCACACCCAGCTAATTTTTAAATTTGTTGTGGAGATGAGATCTCACTATGTTGCCCAGGCTGATCTTGAACTCCTGGGCTCAAGCAATTCTTCTGTCTCAACTTTCCAAAGTGCTGGGATTACAGGCATGAACCACTGCACCTGGCCGTGACTGCTCTTTGCAAAAAAATTTTCAGTTATGTTTGCACATTTTTGTATGCAATAGTTCTATCACTTGCACATTTTTTGTGTGTGATAAAATATACATAACAAAATTTACATTTTTCCCTGTTTTTTAGTATACAATTCAGTGACATTAACTATGTTCAGTGTTGTGCAACCATCACCACTGTCCATTTCCAGAACTTATAACCTGTGTACCCACTAAATAACTACCCGCCCTTTGTGTCCCCCTCCAGGGCCTGGTAACCTGTATTCTATTTTTTTTTTTTTTGTTATGAACTTGATGTTGCCTATTCCAGGTGTCTTATAAAAGCTGAATCATACAGCATTTGTCCTTTTGTGTTTTTACCTTCTTATATTTTTCTTGCTTTTTTTTTTTTCTGAGTTGTAGTCTCACTCTGTTGCCCAGGCTGGAGTGCCGTGACACACTCACAGCCACTCCAGCGTTGACCTGCTAGGCTCCAGTGATCCTTCCACCTCAGACCTCCAAGTAGCTGGAACTACAGGTGCGTGCTACCATGCCCAACTAATTTTTTACTTATTGTAGAGATGAGACCTTGCCAAGTTGCCTGGGCTGGTCTCAAACCCGCAGGCAGTCTCAGTCAATCCACTTGCCTGAGCCTCCCACAGTGTTGGGATTACAGGCTGAGCCACTGAGCCCAGTCACCTTCTTATATTTCTAATAACTCAGGTTAAGTAAACTGCTCAAGGTTACCAGCTGTAAATGGCAACATAGCCATAGGAACCCAAGTATGTCTGTGAAAAAGAAGTATACTGTTAACCACTGCATTGCTACTTTAGCAGTGAGCATCTCTCAGCCATGTGCATATATGTAGCCACATATAATAAGGGTTTTATACTTGACATTATATCCAGAATGTTTCTCAATTAAAAATTCTTTGCAACATTTTAATGCTTCTTCATAATTGAATATATCATGGTTTAATTAGTTTGCCATTGTTGACAATGTTTGTTTTGAATTTTAAATATGTCTTTGTATATAAGTACCTGCATTTCTGATTAGAATGCTAGGATAAAATAGAATACAATTTCTGCCTTAAAAGTAGAACATACTTAACATTTGATACTCATTGTTAAATTATCCTTCAGAATTGAGCCAGAGCCAACATAGAATACCACAAGTGCTCTTATGTTATCCTCAACACTGCCAATGTTGATTTTTTTTCTGATTAGGTAAAAACTAATGTATCACTGGCTGTAGATTAATAATTAATGGTATAATTTTTTTTCTAATTTTACAAAACTTTTTTTTCAGACAAGGTCTTACTCTGTCATCCAGGCTGGAGTGCAGTTGCTCAGTCATAGTTCACTATAACCTTGAACTCCTAAGCTCAAGTGATCTCTGCCTCAGCCTGCATAGTAGCTGGAACTACAGGCACATATGGCTAATTCTTTATTTTTTGTAGAGACAGGGTCTTGTTCTTGCCTAGGCAGGTCTCTAACTCCTGGCCTCAAGTCATTCTCCCACCCTGGCCTCCCAAAGTGCTGGAATTACAGGCATGAGCCACCATGCCTGGCCTAATTTTATTTCTATATAGTCTGTTTATGTCACTAGCTCATTTTCTGCTAGATTCTAGAAGATTCTGTGGTGGGTGGTTAACAATTTCATTATCTTTGTAGTTTTCAAGGTGGAAATATTTGTATTACTTTTAGTAGTTAAAGTAATAAATGGGTGTTATTACAAAATTTTCAAATAGTATAGAAATACACAAAATAGAAAATCAAAGGCTCTGTAATCCCATTTCCACTTAACCATGGGAAGATTTAGTCATAAATACAAAGAAATGTAATAAATACATGAAAAATTAGATAATTATTAACTCTATGAAAAATGTAATTATAGCATACTCCTTGGTTCAGAACTGAAAAATATTTTACATGATCATAAAAGAAAAATACATGTTGAGTTAACCAGAAATTTTAACATTGCCACATTGGGAAGATGGAGAAAGGCAGGAAGAGCATAAGAGATTGAATTATCCTCCTTTATTTCTTTATTAGTCAACAGAAATATATGTATTTATTTAGCTATATGTATGTACATATGAGTAGTTGCTTCTACGGAATAGAATTTGGCGCTATGGGCAAGGGAGACAAATAACTGCTGTGTTTGATTTTAAGCCTTTTCAAGTTACTTCACTTTATATTTTATGGGTATTTACAACTTACCCAGATGGGGATAAATCTCCAAGAAATAGGATGACAAAACACTCATATTTAAAGGCAAAATTATCTTGAAAAGTTTATCAATATTGTTATTAATTTTTCAATCTTCATGAAGTTTTTGTTTTAAAGATTAAATTTATTTCAAAAGTTCTCATGTAAACCCATCAGATATGAATAAAGCTTTTATAGTGAACTTTTGAAATCTTTATAATATCCATCTTTTTTCTTAGGATGACAATAGTGTTACTATGATAATATTGTTTTCTCATTTTTATTAAAATCAACTCTTTTCAAGATTGTTATTAACAAATCTTGATTTTTATTGGTGTGCTAAGGCAAGAAAGGAACATGATGCTTTATGTTTTTAATTTCCTATAAACTATTTTATTGTAAAAAACTATTTGACTTATGCTCAAATTCTAAAAGTAATCCCCAAAATTTAGTCCCCAACTGAATTTTGTACATCATTTATTTTAATATTTACATAATACGTATTAATTTTAATCACTCAGTTCTTCTTCATCACTAAAATATGTGCTTTTCTTTATCCTTGGGCGTCTTGAGTCATCTGATGTTGAGGGGCCCCCTGAACTGGGTTTCCATTTTTTTTGTTCTTCTTCAATTTTGGCTTGCTGCAATGTGAGTCAGAAAACAAACAAAACAAAACCAGGAACCTGCTTAATATTATTTATGGTGCATTAATTCAAAACATGGTACAACCACATAATAAATGCCACCATTTCTCACCCTCCCAGCCCATGCAGATAGTAGGAGCTTTCCCTCAACTCCTGAGTTCTGTCCTCCTCTCACAATGTTACCAAAAATTATCCTAGGCAATTCCTAAAATATCTTTTCTGTTTTGAGCTAAACTCACTTTGATCAAATAGTCTTCTTGATTCTATAATGAAAATAGATTAAGATTTTTATGTGTTTGGGGCCCTTAAAATCTAGTAAAATCCAATGGGAACTTTTCATTTACACTGTTCTAAGGATCTTAGAGAAACAGCTTGCCTCCTAAAGTTTAGGAGGTAAAGGGGAGAGGGAGGTATTGCCACAAGTAGATGATCAATAAAGTAAGCAAAGAATATAAAACCATGAATGCATGGCAACTATTGTGAAAGAACAAGTACCTGGAATGCTATGGCCTGACTGAGACTGTCAAGAGCAGGATCTTCCCCTTCATCTTCACTTTCTTCTACTTCTTCACTAAGTTATTAGAGAAAAAAATTGGAATGTAATCCACCAATAGTAAAAAGACAAAGGCAACACGATATAATGTATTGAGCAAGAGTAATATACATACATTTCTTCTTCTGGTTCAGGAACTTTCTTTTTTTTCTTTTTTTCCTTCTTTTTTGGAGGCTCACGTTCTCCAAGCATATTTTTAGGACAGGCATAACTTAAGTGTCCACTTTCCTTTTGTTTCCCATTAAAAAGGAAAGAAAAAATACATTTGTTGTTATTTACAGAAACTTGCCTGGTACCCTAATACCAAAAGGTTTTAGAATTTGAAAAATAATATCATAATGATATATACAGAAATAAATTAATGATAAAATCCTTAATATTTAGAAGGAAGAAGGGTGATAATGTAACTCCCAATTAAGCTATTTTAACAATTAGGGACTATTTTAGAGTTCCACTAAGTGTAAAATAGTAGTCTTTCCTTAAACATTTTAAATCTCAAGATTCTAGCTATAAAACTATTCAAAACTTAAATGAATCATCTCTTAATGTAAATATTTTAAGTTATTATTTGATAAAATGGGGATAAAACTGTATCTATTCTTGTTAACTTCTAAGATGTTGCTTAACATTTTCTTTTAAAAACAAATGGACACATTTCCCATTAATTACTTTCATTTTTCCCCTTTCATATCCTGACTACATTTGCACTATCTAATTACAAAAGCCACTAGTCACATGTGGCTACTGAGAACTTGTCTGAATTGATATGCACTGAATTTTTGAATACTTAATATGAAAGCAATGTAAAATATCTTAGTAATTTTTAAACTATTATGTATTCAAGTGATATTTTGAATTAAAGACGTCTACCTGTTTATTCTTTTTTAAAAAAGTAGCAGTGTTTATAATAGTATCTGAAATCTAGATAAATTTCCACTGAGGAAACAATGGATAAATTGTATATTTATACTATGGAATATTATATAGCAGTGAAAAGGAATGAACTACTGCTATTAGTAATAACATGAGTGAATCTTAGGAATACTATTAAATTTAAAAAACAATTTGAAGACTATATATTACAAATTGCAATACCATTTAAATAATACTCAAAATCAACCACAACTAAAAAATGTTGTTTGGACATACATATATGTGATAAAATATATATAAGATAATAAAAAACAAAATTCAAGGTGGGGTAGAGGCAGGGGAATGGATTAGAGGAGGAAATCACAGATTGGTGTGAAGGTGATGGTAATGTTCTGGTTCCTACACAGGTGGAAGGTACACAGTTGTTCGCTGAACTGCTATGCTTCTTATCTCACACATCACATATGTTTTTCTATCTACATAAAATATTATATACATTTTAAAATAAAAGATCAATGATCAGGAAAGTAAAGTGAGTTGTTCCTCTATTTACAGACAGCTCGTTGCTTTCCTATTATATCAGAATACCGCTCCTAAAGAATCATAGTATGCCCTGCAATCAGGTCTAAAGTACAAAAAGCAATCCCATAGCTAGCTCCTGGAGGAAGCCAGGAGGAGGAGTATACACAGAAACCAATTCAACCCAATAGTATATCAAGTAGGTATTTTCTATGAGAACTGTGCTGGATTGTAGCATGGGGTATGTGCTGGAGGGTAGGGAGCTGTTTACAAGAGGGTATGAAATACAGCTCCTCTTCTCAAAAGTGGTTGCACTATACTGCTAGGGCTACAGTGGGACTAGAGCTAGGAGAGCACTAGACATTAAGCACCATATTACATGGGTATAGATGGTAAGGATTCTTAGCCACCCAGAAGGAGAATGAGCACAGTCCATCCATCTCCTAGCAAGCCCTCTTCTTTCGACTCTTGTCCCATGTAGAGGTGGGTTGGGGTTGAGACTATTCTTCCCCAGCTCAGAAGTTGGAGGATCAACTTTAAAGGAGAGCAACAGTAAGAGTAAAGCCAGGTTACATAAGGTAGTGGAAAAGGAAGACCTAAAATCATTCCTGGGTTTGTGGGATTCTGTTTCTTTTTTAAGTTTGCTACTAGCAAATGTAAAATTACATATGTGGCATGAATTATATATATGTCCTACTTGATAATGCTGGATTATGCTATCGATCATAATGAGCTAGAACACTGAGTTGTAAAACATAGAAACTCTGAACTATAATCTCTATACCAGCTCATTACAGTACATTTAACAAGTATTATGTTGGAGTGGAATGTGGAGACGAATCTAAGATTAGAACAATAGAAGATAAATATAATCATGTTTTTTAAGTATATTAGAGCAAACAGACTGTGTACTCAGTATACTAAGGACATGGCTCAACCCAGCAATGCTACTCACTGCTAACAAACTGCTCAGAGTTTTACAGAAGCATTTTTCCAAACTGTTTTGGAATAATGGTATACCAAAAATGTTAACATATCTCGTATAAAACAAAGGATTTCATAGTAAAATAACCCTGGGGAAAAACAGACTAAATAAATTTAAACATATTTTTTAGGGGGGACTGAAGAAATATACAATGTACAACATATAGTGTAACAAATCTGTGAATCCCTAAGCCAAAGGGAACAGATGAACAGATTCATTCAGCATTTCTCAGCTAATTTAAAATTTATTGTGGATATGAGGATCCATACTAGTTTGACCATAACTACCTTTCTCCTCCTCCACTCCATCCTTTCCTTCCTTTCTTTTACAAAACTTAAGTCTTTGAAACACAGTTTCTAAAGCATGTACTTAAGAGGTTTTAGAATCATAAGAATCGATAGAATCAGTATGTGTCCAGTCTACTGCTTACTCACTCTATTTATCCATCTGTCTTTCTGTTTATCTATGAAACTTTTTGCGGTGTGGGGAAGGAGGCACAGGGAGTAGCAGTGGGGGAAAGGACCCCAAGCATTTCCTTATGTTTTCCCTGTGATTTGTAGCCAGGACAATGCCTCTCAGTAATTGTCTCCCAAGCTCCTGATTAATACCTCTAGACCCTGTTTCTTAAGTATTTAATATAGTCATTTTAGAAACTGACAGCTCTAAGACCAAGGCTGAAATTCTCTTGGTGCCATTATAGATGTACAAAACTGTTCTATGTCCTAATTACCAAAACTTTAAACGGATGACGGATCATGAAGAGAAACAGATTTAAAAAATAGGGGCTAGTCTAGTTATAAAACGTAAGCAGTACTAACAGGAAAGACAAATAAACTTCAAAATACAATATCCCATAGAGGATGGGTCATATGATAATGCTGGTACTGAACTGTGAAAATTAAACATTGGCAAAATGTTACAAAAACAGGTAATAACCTATCAGCAAAAATGTATGAGTTACTAAAATCTTTCAAGACAATGACATAAGTAATTAGTCTAATACTTTTTTTTTTTGAGTCAGGCTTTCACTCTGTTGCCCAGGCTGGAGTACAGTGTCATGATCATGGCTCACCACAGCCTCAATCTCCTTGGCTCAGGTGATCCTTTCACCTCATGCCTCCTGAGTAGTTGGGACTGCAGGTGCATGCCACCATGCCCAGCTTATTTTTTGATTTTTGTAGAAATAAGATTTTGCTATGTTGCCCAGGCTGGTCTTGAACTCCTGTGCTCCAGCAGTTCTCCCACCTCAGTCTCTCAAAGTGGTGGGATTACAGGTGTGAGCCAATATGCTTGGCTGTCTGACACTCTTTAAACTAGCAATTTTTAAAGATTTAGAAACTGGAGAAAGTACCACTCTATATTACGCGACTCAGGTTATTTTTACACATATTTCAATTGAGTTTACTTAGATGAGTCTAGAGTCCCTGTGTAAAACAACTTTCATAACCTAGTTTTAGCCAGTCAGAAATTTTGGGGAGCACAGATAAAAGACTTGTGAAAAATACCTTAGAGTAAAGTGTGGAAAATTCCATTAAGTTTTAGGTTTACTCACCCCACATTCATAACACTTAGATTTATCAAAGTAGTTTCGCCTTCGGATGAACTCAGCTGCTCTTCCGTTGTCAATAGCAATACTTGCTTTTATCACTCTGCCAAATAACTAAACCAGAAAAAAATGTAAATGCAGAAGGATGTATTTCACTGAAACCTAAAACCAATCCTTTAATCCCATTTCCTCAAAGCTTCAATTTCATTTTATTTTTGGATTATTTTAGCAATTGCCATTTAAGTGTGATAAACTGTATTCTACAGTATTCTTTTTTTCTTTTTTTTGAAACAGGGTCTCACTCTGCTGCCCAGGTTGGAGTGCAGTGGCATGATCATGATGATCACAGCTCATGGCAGCCTCAACCTCCTGGGCTCAGGCAGTCTTTCCACCTCAGCATCCTGAGTAGCTGGGACTCCAGGTGTGTGCTGCCACACCCAGCTAACTTTTTGATTTTTTTTGGAGAGATGAGGTTTCGCTATGCTGCCCAGGCAGGTGTTGAACTCCTGGACTCAGAAAGTCCTCTCGCCTCAACCTCCCAAAGTGATGGGATTAGAGGCATGAGCCACTGTGCCCAGACTCTAGTCTACCAATGTTTTTGGCAACCCAGTACAGCTTTGACTTTTCTTTTCCATAAATTAGATACCCTCAGAATCGTGATAGCTGTCAGACTTGACCATCCACTGCATCACCATTTTCTGGGTTAAAAACCTTGATGGGAATGAATGACTTACCTGTTTGTTGTTTATTGCCCTGGTACAGTTTTGTGCAGAGTCTTTATCCAAAAATAAAATAAATGCAACCCCTTTACTCTTCCTGGTATCTTTATCTTTCATTATAGTAACCCTTAAAGCATAAAAAAATAGCCAGTTAAACATGAGGCAGCAATAAATAAAAGATATGCTAATAAATACTTGAAAACTCAAGTTTTTAAAAAAGGCTAAATACAAATTTTATAAAGTAAGATTAACACATTTGAAAAATCAGCTATCTCTTCAAAGTCACAGGATATCAAGAATAGAAATGATTCAACACAAGTGAGCACAGATGTGATTAGGAGTTAATCAGAGATTAATAGGTGAAGTAAAGAGATTACAGAGACAATGGAATCTTGAAGAGTAACCATAATTCCTTTTCCATACTAACTCCTTCACCCTGCAAAACAAAACAAGAATGTTCTTTTCTACACAAAAAAAGTAAAGTAATATACCTATTTTTCTAAGTTTTAGAATCTAATTGTATTTCTTAAATATTCTCTTAAAGACTCTCCAGAGCTGAGCATGGTGGCATACGCCTGTAGTCCCAGCTCTTTGGCAGTCTGAGGCAGGAGGAATGCTTGAACCCAGGAGTTTGAGGCCCTCAGCCTGGACAACACAGCAAGATTCCTGTCTTTTAAAAAAAATTCTCTTGTTCAGGTTCCTAGTGTACCTGGGTAACAGAGAGAATAATGAGAGCACACCTGCTCTTTCTCCTGCTCTTTACACATCCTTAGTCCTGGTGGCCCTTGCTTACTATTTGTCATTTAACATAGTTTAAAAAACAATGCTCAACAGGGCTCTTTGGAGAAATGGCTGATTCCAAGGCTGGAGCAGGGCAGGTATAAGATGAGCTTGAACCATCTTATGCCAGCAAGTAAGAGAGTGCTGAAGGAGGGAGGGAGGAGCATGGTGCAAGAATACAGCAGCCAGGTGGAAATAGCTCTTATTGGCCAAATCTAAGACAATTTGAATACCAAAATAATTAAATACAGTAGTGAATGATAAGCCACAGAAAAAGTAGGAATTCATAATTCTTACTAATAGGTAAATAAATGGGGGAGAGGGAAGGACTTCTGCTTACAGAAGAATGCAAAGACTACATTTCTGTGTTCTTTAATTTGTCATTTAGCCACTCCATTAGCCTCAAGCCCAGGCATTAAGCTCTAATAACGGTTTTCACCTTCAGGAAAAAGTTTACAGTTTAGTGGTAAAGGGAGACCTATAAACCAATTACAATACTCTCCTTAGAGATACCTTCTGCAGTAACAAGAAAAATTACACCAAGGATTTAAAAAGGACATATCTGGCTAGGCACAGTGGCTCACTCCTGTAATTCCAACACTTTGGGAGGCCGAGGCAGGAGGATGGCTTGAGCCCAGGAGTTCAAGACCAACCTAGGCAACAAAGCAAGACCTATTGTCTCTACAAACAAGCAAAAAATTAGCCAGGTGTGGTGGCGTGTACCTGTAGTCCCAGCTACTTGGGAGGCTGAGACAGGATTGCCTGAGCCCAGGAAGTCAAGGCTGCAGTGAGCCGTGATTGTGTCACTGCATTCCAGCCTGGGGGACAGAGTGAGACCCCGACTCAATAAATAAGTAAATAAATAAACAAAAGGACACAACTACTGATTCTTGTTTCTGGTATGGGAAAAGAGCTAGAGAGTAGCACCATTTCCTAATATGAGGCATATCAGGATTTTTTCCTGATATAAGGTATTTATTTTAGCATATAACATGAAGAAAACCTAGATGTCATCCATAACACCTTCTCACTCACCTGATCCTTATATACAAAGTAGGCATATCACTAAGTGTCACCCACTTTACTTCCTATACACATCACTAAGTATTACCCATTTGACTTACTCATGATCTCTCAAATCTGACCACCTCTCAAATGTGATTAGCATCTTTCTCTCCACGTGTACCACCTTACTCCATATTTCTCCCCTAGGCTACAGTTATAGCTTTCAGAGTGGTCTTCCTGCATTTGCTTTTGTTCCTTTCCAATCTCGTTTCTACACTGAAGCTGGAGTAGGCTTTTAGAAAATTCAAATCATGTCACTCTTCATTTAAAATTCTTCAGTGATTCCTGGTGTTCTTAGCATAAAAGCCAGACATCTTGTAATGGCCAACAGGCAAGATGAGGAACCTGCTTCTTCTCTGGAACCATTTTGTGCTTTCTTCCTTCCTTTGCCCACTCATCTCCAGGCATATTGGCCCTTTTTCTATTTCTAGATTTCAGTTCATTTTCTTTTGCCACAGGGCCTTTGCACAAGCTAGTTCCTTTACCTGAAATGCTCTTCCCTTCTTTTTGCCTACTTAACTCTTATTCATCCTTTAGGTTTCAACTTAAAGGATACTGATCTAGGCAAGTCTTCCCTGACTTTCTAGACTAGATCAAGTCTTCTCTGTTTATAACTCAATGTTTTTAACTTCATGGCATTCTCATGGCTTATGATATATCTGAATAGTGATTCATTCAGAGATTTGGGCAAAGAGGAACAAAATAGAAAAGGTAAATGAAAAGAGGTAGAATCTGGAATCATGCTGGCTGGATTCAAATCTTGTCTCCACTACTAACGAGCAATATGACAGGTTTACCGTGTGCTCTTGTTTCATCACTTATAAATTGGGATAATAACAGTACTCACCTTAAAGTGTAATTCTAAGACTTTAGTGATATAATATACATACAGAGCAGAGATTAGAACGATACTTAGCATATATATGTGCTCTCCCTCTTTTTTTTGTTTTTTTTTTTTCAGTTGGAGTCTCAATCCATCGCCCAGGCTGGAATGCAGCAGCACGCTCGTGGCTGCCCCAGCGTCCACCTGCTGGGCTCCGGCGATCCTTCCACCTCAGCCTTCCAAGTAGCTGGAACTACAGATATGTGCTACCATGCCCGGCTAATTTTTTTTATTTATTGTAGAGAGGAGGTCTCGCCAAGTTGCCCGGGCTGGTCTCGAACCTGCAGACTCAGGCAATCCACTTGCCTCAGCATCCCAAAGTGCTGGGATTTCAGGCTGAGCCACTGAGCCTGGCCTATATGTTCTCTTTTAAGCATTAGACATCATCATCATTAGTGCTCTGATTGAGGATGATAACTGTTCAAAATCTGAAGTTCCCAAAATTTACTCACAAACATTTTTGATAATTATTTTTCATGGTGAAATAAGTTTAAAAGAAGTTAATAATTTCACAATGAAAATGAACTTTAACTGTTTAACATCCACTTATAAAAAGCTGAAAGAAAACTATCAAGATAAATATGCTCTAAAATCTGGGGATTTCAAACTTATACCAGAGTATATAGTGGTTGTAAGATAGTTAGAATGACAATATTTTGCTTTTACTTCTTTGTCCCATAATATAGTTGTTTGATTGATTTAAAGTAGTGAATTAAATATAAAAATCTCAAGTTATTTTTCTCTTTTTAATTCTCAGCACCATTTGCTGTTGTCATCATGATCAGTTTTGTTCGTTTCCAGTCTTTCCAATGATATCTAAGCTTCCTATAATGGTAGATATATGTTTTCTATTTATTTAATATGTCTCATAAACACTTTGCAAGTCATATGCATTGAAATATTTTTTGACACTATTTATGAGATAAATGGTCACCCACTTGTATGCTCAATAACACATTTCCCAGTAATCAAAATATTTGTTTAATTAGAGCTTTTAATTTACATCTTCTATTGGACAACATAATTAGGCTTAGTTCTTAGCATTTTGCTAGAAATTATTTAAAAATTTAAAGAAATTATGATAAAGAAATACCATGAAACCATAAGCTATGAGGAAACCATCAGATATGCACCTTTTTTTTTTTTTTTTGAGTTGGAGTCTCACTCTGTCGTATACATGGAAAGACATTTAGGTATAATGTCAAGTTAAAAAATAAAACAAAATTGCACATATAGACATCTTAAAAAATTGTCTACGTGTTTATGTTTATCAAAAAGCTAAAATATACATAAAATGTTAGCAATAGTTATTTTTATTTTCTTTGTTATAGCAAGTATCTGTTTTGTTTTAAAAAATCTCTTACTAAAAAATGATGGTAGCCGGGCTCGGTGGCTCAGCCTGTAATCCCGCGCCTTTGGGAGGCTGAGGTGAGTGGATTGCTTGAGTCCGCGGGTTCGAGACCCGCCTG